GGGCGGGATGCTCCACCCGGGCGGGGCCAGGGTCAGGGATGGGGGGGATGCTCCATCCGGGCAGGGCCGGAGACAGGGGGTGCTCCATCCAGGCGGGGCCGGGGGCACGGAGGCGACGGCCTGGCCGAAAGGGTGAGGATGAGGGGCAGGATGAGGCAGACTGGGGAGGGCAGAGGGCAGGCGAAGGGCTTGGCTTGCGGGGAGAGGCGGGCGAGGGAATGGGGTTGGGGGGGGCTGGGTTCGGGCTGAGGAAGGCAGATGCTGCTGTGTACAGAGAGGGTTCAGATCGGGGTTGGAGGTGCCGCGGTGTGGGGTGCGGGTCGGCACGGGGCTGGAGATGAAGATGGTGTGGGGGTGGTGTCGGGGTTGGGACGAGTCCTCGGCTGCGGTTGGCATCGGACACCGGGACAGAGACCAGGGCCGGTGGTAACCTGCACCATCTCCCTCAGAATCGTCAGAGTCCGCCTCGGCCACCACTCCCTGTCTCCCGTCTACAAATCCGGGCAGCAGCTGTTCCGCGGCGTCAAAACCATCCCGCACCCTGGCTACTCGCACCCCCGCCACACCAACGACCTCATGCTCATCAAACTGAACAGAAGAATCCACGAGACGCAGGACGTCAAGCCCATCAACATCTCCTCTCGGTGTCCATCCGCGGGGACCAGCTGCTTGGTGTCCGGCTGGGGAACCACCAGCAGTCCCCAGGGTAAGCGTCCAGGTCCCTCTTGATGTCGGCCCGCGTCCGTCCCCCGTCTCCCGTCTCCCCCTCTCCCTGAGCATTCCGCCTCGCCCCGTCTTTCTCTGCCGCTCACCGGGCGTCTCTATTTGACAGAGAACTTCCCCAGCGAGCTCCAGTGCCTGAATATCACTGTGCTGAGCACCGAGAAGTGCAAGGAGGCCTATCCCGGACAGATCGATGCCACTATGTTCTGTGCCGGTGACGAAGCAGGCAGAGATTCCTGCCAGGTAAGAACTGAGCCGGCGCCAACCGCTCGGCAGACACACACTCAGTGCCCACTGCGGGAGCCCAGCGGGGACCCAATCAGTTCGGACCCATGTTCTCACCGTGGAACAGTTCCGTCCAACAGAAATATCGCGCGAGGCAGACATATAATTTAAAACTTTCCAGTAGCGACATTTTAACAAAGTCAAAAAAAAGAAACGATGAAGTCGACGAGTTTAATCATCTATTCTATTCAACCCAATGCATCTCGAGTGTCCTTGTCTCAAAACGTAATTAACGTAAAACAATTAGGAATGAGATGTTTTAGGTTCTTTCCCCCTCCCCCCCAATAGTACAGTTTTGAAAGCCAGTGAGTACTTTTACACTGATAGCGTATCTGAATTCGGGCTTGCCGTGTTTCAAGTGCTCAGTAGACCCACGTGGCCAGCGGCTACTCTATCAGCACAAATCTGGAGGCAGAGGCCAAGTCGGCTTCGTATGGGTGAGCAGGTTGTGCATAAAGAAATCAAATCAAAAGAGGCTCCCTTCGCATAATAGGCATCGCATCACGGTTTTGTCCATTTGGGCCGGTCTCAAGCAGATGGCAGTTACGTGTCACGTCCCTGCGAAATCTGTAGCGTGAAATTGTTTCGACAAATGTTAGTAAGATGACTCGAGGAAGGAAAACAGACACCCACGCTAGGTGTTTAAAGAGAGGGAGAGTATTTAATATAAAGGATTGATTACGAGGTCGTTGGGAGAGCTGGGGAAGCAAAGAGGTAAAAAGAAACTACGTAAATAGGGTCATTTCGGAGAGCCGTGAGGGCTCTGCACAAAATAAAACGTGGTTTTAGGTTGGCAAGCGACGGGAGGCGTTTGGAAAGGCCTCCTGACAGATGTGGTGTCTGGGCAGAGACCCAATGGCGAAGGTCGAAGGGCAGGGAAAGCAAAGGGAGGTGTGTGGCTGATTTAAAAAGCAGAAAGAAGCCAGCGAGTTTGGGGACACCGTTGGGGGCGAGCAGTAAAATTCGAGGCTGGAGAGATGGCTGGGGGCCGACGTCCAACCATATTCCGTGATCCCCGATGAAGAGCTGCTCTGTGTTCTCACGGAAGCCACATCGACGGAGGATGACGGAAACTAAAATTAAACCCCAAGGGTACTAGGGAAATGTGAATTAAGGAGACTTCTGCTGGGAGAAGGTACGGGTCAGTAATATTGGCGTCTAGTAAGCTGTGGGCTCGGACAGCAAACACTCCAGTCCCATCTTGATGGCTGTGAAAAGCTCCCCCCACCCTCCCTCTCCAAATTTCACAAAGCTGACCATCGCGACAGCTTCCTGGGTCACCCAGTTTCGACTCTGTCCTCACTTAACAGTGGGGGCGCACACATCTGGATGGGGGGCAGGTTTTTATCAGAAGAAAAACATCTAATTTGAAAGCCAGCATTTTAAACCGTTTAGCCTTTCTGTAGCCAAGCTTAGTCCCCTGTATTTTTGCCGTTGTTATTGTCGTTTTGTCTTTTTTGTTTTTGGGGGGTTTTTTTGCAGACTGCAAGTTGCTTCCTCATCCTAGCATGGGGTCAGGGTGTGGCCGCCCAAAGCAAGAAATAATAACGGCAATATGAATATTAATAGTATAATAATGATAGCAGCTAATTGCGGGACAGCGTTTTAAGTAGCTCGCATACGGGAGCTGATTAACTCATGTAAGTGTTGTGATTATTAGCTCCGTTTTACAGACAAGGAGCCAAGGCTCAGAGCAGTTAACTAACTGACTCTCTAAAAAAACAAAACAAAACAAAAAACTCTCTAGAGATATTAAAATCATGAGAAAAAATTAAACCACAAGAAAGTTGAAATTTAGAGGTCTGGGCGGTCAATCTCTTTTGCCTTGAAATGGTGTCTGCGAATGGGGAATGAAGCCTGGTCTTAGGTTTTTTATAGTTGCTATGAGGTCTCTGTGTCCTCGTTCATATTGTGCATAAACATAAATAAGAAATAACAGGGAAGAGTGATGAGTATTATCATGGGAGGGGGCTATGCAGATTTAGGGGTCGAGCATCTGGATTAGTTCAAGGTTACTAGTTCTAACCACCAAAGAGGCTCCAAACCTCAGGAGAGGTTTGAAGAGTTTATTTGAGCCAAGGCTGAGGACGAGACGGGCAAGCAAAACCTCAACAGATTGAGAAAACCTTCCAAGGAATGGCAGGGTGGCCGTTTAGTTCGTGCCCGTAAAAGAGAGGATGTAAGGGGGGGTCACGTGACATCCTCCGGGGGCAGGTGAAAGAGGCAGGAGAAGCAGCAGAGTGTGGAAGTCTCCGGGGCTGGGTCCGGAATAAAGCGGAGAGGTCCGCGTTCCCTTCCCACGATGCGTTCACAGCTCCCTTAAATAGTTTACCTGCTATGCAGGTAAAAGTTGAGGACCAGGACTGTCGGGGTCGCCTCCTCCCGGCATCAGGGGCTTTATCTCCAGAGAACAGGAAGAGAGAGCATCCTGACATTGCAGGTGTGTTGTCCCAGGCGCACGAAAGCCATGGGCAGGGCCCCCTCCAGGGAAAGGTTCATCTGCCATACAGAACTTAGGACGTGACTTCCCGCAGTGGCCTGCTCGGTTAGGAATAATTTTATGATTGCAACAGCCGTGTGCTTACTTTCAGCTGCTGAGCTTGCCAGGCCGGCCAGGTAGCCCCCTTCGCATTCACGGTTCTTACCTGGGGGTCGTTCTGCACCCCCAGAGGGCGGAATGGCAATGCCCGGAGATATTTTTGACGGTCATGGTGGTGCAGGGCTGAGGGGTGGGTATGTGGAGAGAAAGGAGGACGATTACCGGCTTCTGGCGGGCCGAGGCCAGGGATGCTGCTGAACATCTCAAAAAGCCCCTCACAGCCAAGGATTCTTCGGCCCCAACCTCGCAGGGGCCCAGCTTGAGCAACTGTCTTCCAGGGGCTGAGCACTGCCTCTCGGCAGAAGTGAGACCTAAGTACAAGATGGATGGATGTCAAAGATGGGTGGACAAGGAGGAAGGGGAAGGAAGGAGAGTCCAGCAGGACTATGATGCTCCCAGGCCGAAGGGGAGAGTACGAGGAAGATGAAGACAGAGAAGCAATGAGACAGAGAGAGAAGGGGCCGGGGCTGGGTAGCCAGGGTCAGAGGGAGCCTCAGAGTTAGAGCTGGACACAGTCAAATGTTCACATCCTCTCTCTCTCTCTCCCTCTCTGTCTCTGTCTCTGCCCAGAGGAGTAACATGAACCTTTTTTTTTTTTATGAAGGCTTGGGGTCAAAGCTAGAATTAAAAACTGCCAGTCCTCTTAAAGGCTAGGCCCATGACTGGCAAAGTATCATGTTTGCAATATTCTATTCATTAAGTAGTCACAAAAGGTCCCAGATTCAAGGGAGTGTAAGAATGATTACCTCCCCTCAATGGAGACATAACATGTGTTAACAAGAAGAGAAAGAATTGGCGCCTCCCTTTCTTCCCCACAGGGCGATTCCGGGGGACCCGTGGTCTGCAACGGCTTCCTGCAGGGCCTCGTGTCCTGGGGAGACTTCCCCTGTGCCAAGCCCAACAGACCCGGCGTCTACACCAACCTCTGCCGGTTCACCAAGTGGATCCACGACACCATCCGGTCCAACTCATGAGTCACCCCAGGGCCTAGCATTCCGGGGTCCCCCGCCCCCCTGCGAGTCCCCAGCCCTGCGGGGACCTGACACTCCTTGCGCACCCCCATGTCGAGGATATTCACCTCCGGCCCCCTGAGTCTCCAGGAACCGGGGCCTCCCTTCTTCGACAGTAGACTGACCCCCAGATCTCCATTTGGATCCTGGGGACATTTCCCAGACTGGCCAGAAATAAAACGCCTAAGGAGAAGTGGCCTCTGTGTTTGGTCTCCCCCCCGCCTTGCTCGCCGGACAGCCAGGAAGCCAGAAACGAGTCCCTTCCCCGCTCGGCATGTCCGTGCTCGCTCTGCGAGGTTGTTTCGGAGGCGAGAAACAACAGGTCCACTCAGGCTGCTGTTCATTTCGTTTTCATTTCGAATTTCGCCGTCTTCACAAATCTTGGCCGAGAGCCTGGCGATCCTGTGCCAGGAACGGTGCCAGGGGCAAAACAAAGAAAAAAACCATCCTGCCTCGTGAAGCTTGTGTTCCAGTCGGGGAAGGCAGACGGTAAAGAGATAGACAGATGCGTGACACGCTGTGTGGAGTCTGAGAGTCAAATGGGGTGCCAGGGAAGAGAGGAACAGTTGGGGGAGGGGCCCGTGCGTCCTGGATGGTGGCGGAGGCAGTGGAGGGCACTGTACCAGCCTCCCAAAAGACGGCCTCCTCGTCCTAATCCCAGAATCTGTGAACACAGGACCTTCTATGGCAGAAGGAACTTTGCAGGTGTAGTTAGGGATCTGAAGATAAAGAGATTACCCTGGATTATTTGGGTGGGACTATTATAATCCCATGGGTGCTCATAAGTGGGAGGCGAGGCCTCAGAATGAGAGAGATTCTGGACGATGCTAAGCCGCTGGTTTCGAAATAAGCAAAGGGGCCATGTACCTATAAATAGCACAGAAATGGAGTCTCCCCTGGAGCTTCAGAAGGAACTAGCCCTGCCCGCCAACACCTCGATTGCAGCCTCCTGAGACCCCGTTCTGGAGGTCTGGTCTCCAGAACTGTAAGAGAAGACATGCGTGTGGTTTTAAGCCTCTAAGTGTGAGACCCTTTGAGACAGCAGCCATAAGACACTAATCCAATAGGCTAATACACTTCCGAGGAGGTGACACTTGAGCCGAGACCCACAGGAAGGAAAGTGGGACCCGGCGCTGCAGACCGAGAGAAGGCTCTGAGGTGGAGATAGGCTTCTCCCAGAAAAAAAAAGAAAAAGAAAAAAAAGTAACATCTTAAAATCAAACAGAAACAGACAGCAGCCTAGAAAATGCCCCAAGCAGACAAAACCAGTTTAGTTATGCTGCATATAAAGAAACAGAAATGTATTTGTCTAGATAGATTTATAGGACTATCACAAATTTATGTCAGTAAAAGCGCACATGATCTCGCATTTGGCTTGCTTCGTTGAATAGTATATTTCTGTGGTTCGTCCGGATTTTTGTCCGTGGCCGTAAATGGGTCCTTCTCATTGCTGCTCCGTATACTAGTGTGTAAACACCCTCCAATTTAGTGACCCGTTCTCCTGTGAATGGGCATTTGGATAGTTTCTAGTTTCCTCGGCCGTTTGAAAGGGAATGTGCTCACGTAACATCTACTGAAATTATGATGGCAAGTGTAGGAGAAGCAGCGAGCGTGAATCCCTGCCGGTTCCATCCCCACGCTGCTTCTTGCTGATGCCACAGCCCAGATGCATCACGGGTCAGGTTTAGGCCCACAGGCGAGCAGGTCTGGAGGGAGGCGTGCGGGCCAGCGGGCTGAGGCTGATGCACGGTGAACTAGTCTGACTCGGCACAGGGCGAGCAGTAACGTGTAAGCTGATACCTAGTGGCTGCATTTCCCTGGGAAGTTTTCGTTCTGCGGATAATAGGGAGGGCGTACGTTCGAACCGTCCCCTCCTTCTCATCTGCCGCGTGGGCGCCGGGAGGTGGACCAGCCGCTTTGCATCCCGAGGCCAGAAGCCACAGATTAGAGGTGGGAGCATGAGAAGAAGCAAGAAGCAGCCTGTACTCTCGCTGAAGCATCTGCTCCAGGTGTGGCCTCCCAACGTCTGGGCTTGAGACAGAGAGAACAATACCTCCAGTGTCTGGGCACTCGTCCTTGGCTTTCGGTACACTGTCACAGAAGCGATGACAGGGAAGATGAAGTTTCTAGGAACTAAAAGCTGAGCTGAGACACGGTGCAGATTGTCCTGGGTCGGTTTGACTTTCTCTTCCTGTGTGAGCCTTTTCCGGTATGAAGGCCAGCTCCAGAACCAGGAGGGGACACACAGATGTCTGTAGATAATTTCCTGCAAGGGCGGAGAGGGCCGTGCATTTCCTGCACGGTGATGCAAGAAATAAGCTTCCTGCCCTGCGAGATATTAAGACATACAGCAAAACAAAATTAACGTATTAAAAAAAAGCATGGAGCCAATGCAAGAACAGACAAATGGATCAGCGACGTGGACGAAAGAGCTCGGAAAGAGACCCGTGAGGACTCAACGTAACGTTATATATTATATATATACATATTACGATAAAATAGCAACCTAAATTAATGAGGGAAATACGATATGCTTCGTAAATGGTGTGGGAAAAGTGGCCCACTATGTGGAGAAAAATAAACCTAGATTCCTATCTAACGGCACAGGTGAAGGTAGACCCCCAGATGTACGGAAGGCCAATATGTGAAAGATACACTATAAAGGTAATAGAAGAAAATCAAGGAAAATATCTTTGAATCTCTGACACAGAGGATGACTTCTTAAGACTTCAAAAGGCATAGAATGGAGGACAAAACATTGATTAGTTTGGTTATGTCAAAATTAAAAGTTTGGGTATAAAGGAAGGTAAGATGGATGACGAATAGGCATCTGTTGGAATGAGAGACGTTATTTGTAATTTCCAAAATGCACAAGGGACTAGAACCCATAAGATACGAGAAGCACCTGTGAATTAACAAGAAAAAAGACGGACACCCTTACGGGCAAATGGGTAGAGGATATGAACAGGCAATTTGCAGAAGCAGAATTCAAAAGCTGACAAGCGTATGAGGGGATATTCAAACTCATTAGCTATCAGAGAACTGGAAATTGAAACCACAAGAAGGCATCACTTTGCACCCATCAAGCTGAGGACACTTGGAGGCTTGGATAGTGTCCAGTGTGGTCAGGGACATACAGATGTGGTCAGGGACATACAGACATTAGGATGTTTAGTTGCTACTCAGGTGAGTGTAGTACCTCCGGTTCTGAAGATCTGACACTAATCCATCCAATTAAATAAACACACGCCCTCTGACTCAGACACTTCTCTCCTGGCTATGCATCTCAAAGACATTCTTACACACCCACGAGGGGGCACGTACAAGGATGAGCCTGGCAGTGTTCTTTGTGGTGGCCGGGAGCTGGCAGCCATCGAGTCTCCATCCCTGGGGGGATCCTTGGGTAAATGTGCGGGTGCCACCACGGAGATGCATGCACATAGCAACACGGCCGCCGAGTCTGAAAAGCACGGTGCTGTCGAAAAGTGACATAAGATAGCTGATGCCTAATCCAACGCCAATGACATTCATTAAAATTGCAGGCCCATAAGGACCCCTCTACACATTTGGGGAGACTGAGGGAGGGTGGGAAGAAGGAAAGAGGGCTGAGAAGAGAGGGAGGGAGGGAGGGAGGGAGGGAGAGGGCAAAGGGTAAAGAAAAGAAGCCTTTTGTACAAACCCGTGGTGATAATGATGCTCGTGATAGTCAACCTCCGCACCTGAGGTCGGAAGGGAGTGAAAAATAAGCTTGTAAAATTGTCAAGCCACACCCTGTAAGGACCGTGTCCTTGAGGGGTTAGGGGGAAGCTGTGTGTATGTCATGTGTTGCTGCTCCCCGTGGCCACCTCCGATACTGTTTTGAATCCCTGTCTTGTTAAGCCGACACTTAATCTAATCCGACTGCGGCTGACTCTTGTTTGTTTTCATAGCCTCCCCCACGCCCCCCACGCCCCCCACGACGTGCACAGAGTTGGCTCCGGATCTCCAAGAGGCCGGGACTAAGTGTCACTGGGTGTGGCTCAGAAGGCTGGAGCATCCTCCACCCGGTGTCCTCGCTCCTCAGGTGGGTGATCCTGGCCAGAAGCCCAGGTCAGGGAGTGGCCCCGATTTCGTTGATGGGGGCATTTTCCCCCGTGCATTCCACACTCCAGATAAGTATCTAATTGTCGGCTGCAGAGAGGCCAGCTGTGGGTTACCTTTTATTAGTAATAAGAATAACAATAATCACGACGGCTACCATTTACTGAGTGCCAGCCACTTGGCTGCGTTCATCTCTCCGGATTCTGACGGCAGCCTCAGGAAGGAGGCTCTCAATCGGTCGGGAGGCCGGGGGACAGCGGGGGCGCTTACATTTGGCTCAGTTTCTGTGGCCGGCACATGGCAGAGCCGGGATGCGAATCAAGAGAGTAGGAGGGGCCTGAGCCCGGGGCTGAAACCGCAGCGCGCTGGAGCCAACGCAAGCAAGCGGGAGCGCACAGGGCCGGGGGCGAGGGGGAGGAGGGGAGAGGGCCAGAGCATTAAAGGAAGAGAGAGCGGCTGGAAACGATTTCGAGAGACTCAGAGAGAGGGCAACAGAGTGAGTGGGGGAAAAAATCTTGTGGTGAGAGTTTGAAGGGGACATTCCAGGATGGGGGTGGGGGGGTGTTCCATTGCTGACCCTTGACCTCACTCTCTCTCCACTTCCAGAGCCCGCTCTCCCTTCCCCCAGGCCCTGGCCTAAGTCCCCCCACCCCCACCCCCCACGCAACTCCCATGGACAGTGTCTGTTCCGTGCGGCAGACTGGCTGGGTTTCAGTCTGTCTCTGCCTCCGGTTCTGTGTCCACGGGGTTGCCCCACAGGGCGGCGGTGGATCCCCATCAGCAGCCCCTGGGCGCTTGTTGGCAGCGTCCGTCCGTGGCGCTTCCTCAGGCCGACTGACTGGGGAGCTGCACGTGAACAAGATGCGCACGTTCCAGCCGGAGATGCGCCCCCGGGAAGAACGAGTCTCCGACGGCAGGTGTTGGAATCCGCCGCCTGCTCTACGGCGCCACCTTGAGGCCCATCGCAGAGCTGACCTGACCTGTCCCCAGGCTCACTTTGGCCAAGTTACTTGACCTCTCCTCCCGTGGATGGGGCGAACTCCTTACCTGTGACCTCGATCCGACGGTTCCACCTCGTGCACAGTGCCTGCCCGCCCCCCCGAGC